TTTTGGTATTTTTGAGACAAGGTCTTGCTATGCAGTTCAGGCTGGCCTTGAGCTCACTTTGTAGCTCAGGCTGGTCTTGAACTCACAATGATCCTCCTGCCTCAGCCTCCCGGCCCGCGTGCTGGGATTACAGACGTGCGCCACCACGCCTGGGTCAGACAAGGCATTTTTTAATGGAATTCTCAGTAACAGATGCTGCAGGGTATCTCCTGGGAGCTCCTAGGACTGACTGAGGGAAGGGTGCTGAACGGGGTGGTCTTGAGGGCGGTCCAGCTTGGTAGCAGCAGCATGGTGGGGACTGAGAAGACACCTCTGCATTTCTAACGTGTCCCCTGACTCACAGACATGTCTTCCTTCACTTGTTGTCCTTGAAGTGTGAAGAGAGACCAGCTGCATGGCTGCATATTTGGGGTCATGGAAGCATGAAGGGGTGTGGCTGTGAGCGAGTGTCTTAGCCACCTCAGTCCTATGCCTTGATGGTTTGGGCTCTTCCCTCCACCCAAAGGGGTATCAGTTGGTACCACAGAGCAAGAGGTGCCCACTGGCTGCTTGAAAGACATTCTTGCCTCAGCCACAGTCCTGGCTTGGCTGCAGCCCTGTTCCCTCTCAATGTCCCAGTGTCTTTGCCATTGCTTCCTTTTGCTGTCCGGTCCCAGAGTCCCGGCCAAGAGATTCCTTACCAGAGACGAGCAGACTGGACCTGAGGGAGACCAGGCCACTGCCTTAGTCAGGAGCTGAAGCAGAGACAGGAAGTGGAATGCGGGGTGAAGCCAAGAGAATCTGGAATGGGTGCAGATGAGATCCCCTAATCTATCCTGTTCTCCCATGCTGTTTTTGTTTTCTGCCCCCAGTCCTGGGGATTGAAACCAGGACCTTTACACTGAACCACATCCCAGCCTTTTTTTTTTTTTTTTTCATTTTTCATTTTTTATTTTAAGATAGGATTTCACTAAGTCACTAAGTTGCCCAAGCTGGGCTCATACTTGCAATCCTCCTGCCTCAGCCTCCCAGAGTGCTGGTACTACAGCCAGGCATCCCCACACCTGGCCCCAGGCTGCTCTCTCTGCTCTTTGAGTGACATTTTTTTTCCCTCTGAGTCCCTGACTGTGGCTTCTGTTTTCTCCAAACTCATTTCCTTGGGGGTCAGGACCCTAACCGTCCCCTCACCCCAACCCTGCTTCTATCCCAGCTCTTCTCAAAGCCCTTTAAAGAGTCTCCTGTCCCCAGAAGGCCCTTGTGCACCCCCAGGAACTCCAGAGTGTGCTCACATTCCTGGCTGCTGGCTTGGGGGAGCGGGCTGCAGCTTGCACTCTGCTCTTTTTCTGAGACCCGTGTTAGCTCTGCCCCATGGAGGTGTCACCCGCACACATCTCCTCCCTCGAATTCCCCGTCCGCTTCAGTTCTTCCCTGACCCCCCTGCTCTGTTCTCCCTGTCTCTAAGTCTGTCCTAGAGTTTTGTCCTTCATTTTCCCTCTCCTTCCCTCCCCCTAAGCAGGGCTTACTTCTTCCCGCAGGAGGAGGCGCACTATGGCTCCAGTCCCTTGGCCATGCTGACAGCAGCGTGCAGCAAGTTTGGTGGCTCCAGCCCTCTGCGGGACTCAACAACGCTGGGCAAAACAGGCACAAAGAAGCCATACTCTGACCTTTCAGCTCCCAAAACCATGGGGGACGCCTACCCAGCCCCCTTTTCAAGCACCAATGGGCTCCTCTCACCTGCAGGCAGTCCTCCAGCGCCCACTTCCGGCTATGCCAATGACTATCCGCCGTTTTCCCACTCTTTCCCTGGGCCCACGAGCACCCAGGACCCTGGGCTCCTAGTGCCCAAGGGGCACAGCTCTTCCGACTGCCTGCCCAGCGTCTACACCTCTCTGGACATGGCACACCCCTACGGCTCATGGTACAAGGCGGGCATCCATGCAGGCATCTCACCAGGCCCAGGCAACACCCCTAGTCCTTGGTGGGATATGCACCCTGGGGGCAACTGGCTAGGCGGAGGGCAGGGCCAGGGTGATGGGCTGCAAGGGACACTGCCAACAGGCCCTGCTCAGCCTCCACTGAACCCCCAGCTGCCTACCTACCCAACTGACTTTGCTCCCCTTAACCCGGCCCCCTACCCAGCCCCCCACCTCCTGCAACCAGGGCCCCAGCACGTCCTGCCCCAAGATGTCTATAAGCCCAAGGCAGTTGGCAATAGTGGGCAGCTGGAGGGGAGTGGGGGAGCCAAGCCCCCCCGGGGTGCAGGGACAGGAGGTAGCGGTGGCTATGCGGGCAGCGGGGCAGGGCGCTCCTCTTGTGACTGCCCCAACTGCCAGGAGCTGGAGCGCCTGGGGGCAGCGGCAGCCGGGTTACGGAAGAAGCCTATCCACAGCTGCCACATCCCTGGCTGTGGCAAGGTGTACGGCAAGGCCTCGCACCTGAAGGCCCACTTGCGCTGGCACACGGGCGAGAGGCCCTTCGTCTGCAACTGGCTCTTCTGTGGGAAGAGGTTCACCCGCTCCGACGAGCTGGAGCGGCACGTGCGCACTCACACCCGGGAGAAGAAGTTCACCTGCCTGCTCTGCTCCAAGCGCTTTACCAGAAGTGACCACCTGAGCAAACACCAGCGCACCCACGGAGAGCCAGGCCCGGGGCCCCCTGCCAGTGGCCCCAAGGAGCTGGGGGAGGGTCGCAGTGTGGGGGAAGAGGAGGCCAGTCAGACACCGCGACCTTCAGCCTCTCCAGCACCCCCAGAGAAAGCCCCCGGGGGCAGCCCAGAGCAAAGCAACCTGCTGGAGATCTGAGCTGGGTGCGGGGTCTCCAGCCGGGGCCCTCTCGCCAGCCTCTCTGGTCTGTGCACCACTGCTTGCCCTCACTCCCTTCCCCACGCGTGCTGTGCTGTGGGGCTCTCTCCCCTTCTCTGAGCATTCTGTCTCTTCAGCTCACTTCCTCCATGCGCCCGGAGCCCTCACAAGGCCCTCACCTTGTGTCTGACTCCCGACCTCTGGCCTCCTAAGCTCTCCTCTGACCCCTGCTCACAGCTTCTGTCGCAGGCCTTGCCATACCAAATCACTTTTCTTCCACCCGGATTCCCAGAACTATTTCTGCCTCTCACCAACTCTGTCACATCCTTTCTGCTGCCCAAGCTTAATTAGTGTTACCCCCTCGTCCAGCTTCATCTTCCCCACTTCTTACCCCTCTGCTTTCCGTGCTCCAGAGCTTTCTTCCTGTTCCACAAACACAGTGATGATAGTGATTATTTATTGCCCCCTGGTGGCCTCTTCATTAGGGACCAGAGTTAGGGGGGTTGGGGTTAGTGACCTGGCTGGGAGCAAGGGGCCAAGCGGGGGGCAGACCAGTCAGGATCTGATCCCCAAGGTGGGGTGACCCCAGGGTCAGGGAGGCTGCCCCTGGGCCTGTACAGTTAACCCCTGTGCACCAGGAGTCATGAATAATAATAATAATAATAATAATTCTATTTATCTAAGTTATGATGACGGGTCAGGTAGAGTGAGCTAGGGAGGGAAGGGGATCCATTTCTGCTATGGAAATTCTAGCCAAATGCATCTCTGTGTAGACAAAGCGATAGCAGAGATCTTCTCAACAGAATTTCCATCATCAGGGTTTTGGTTAGTGGGGTTTCTTCTTCAACGGAGTTCTTACAAATTGGTTTGGTTAGCTAGATCTCTGTAAGAGAGTGGATGTGGGTATCTCTCAATGAGGAGATGCCTAATATCCCCAGCCCCAGCCAGAAGCTGTGAAACCTCAAGTCCTATGGAGGGGAGGACTGGAGTGTACCCCAGCTCCCTTGACCCCAGAGCAGGTTCTTCCACTGCCGGCCTCAGACATCATGACCTCATCAGGTTAATACCCTGTTGCCATGGTTACGGCGAGCTTGCAGCCGCCATCTTAAACAGGCTCTTTGGGGAGCCCATCTAACAGGAGGACGTTGGTTTGGAGGTGCCTCTCCTGGAGAATGGGTGGGGAAGACTTTCTCTGGGACCAGATTCAAATAAATGAAGTATTTATTGAGTGCCTACTTTCTGCAAGGCACTGTATTAGGCCTGGTGCCTAGAAGCCATGAGAAAGAATTTACAGAGCTAAGAAGACAGAGGTCCCCAAACAGATTTGGGGGTGCATCCACAGCCCCCCCCCCACAACCTGGGACTTCCAACTCCACCTCCAATGACTTTTAAAGCCGCTTGTGCCTTTGAATGCCTTTCCTGAGACTGGATCCTCCTTTTTTACCCACTGCTCCCTCAGGGCCCCAGGTTAAAGGGCAAAGCCGCTGGAGCTTGGGGCGAGGGTAACATTAAGGAGGGGAAAGAATCATCCCCTCGTGGTCTTTTTTTTTAAATTTTTAATTTAATAAATAAAAGGTCGATTTGAAATTGTGTCCTGGTGAGAAAAAGCGAAGAGGAAGGGCAGAGGGTGGACCACAAGATTTTTCCTTAGCAAAGTGGGGGCTCCCTAAGGGTGAAATTCTATTGTGCGCGCCTTGGTTCGCAGTCCGCCTAGTTCGCTGGCCCGCTCTCCCGGGGAGAGGAGTTTTGAACCGTTCCGTCTGGTCGGCAGAGGCGGGAAGGCACAGTGGTTGTTCCCGAGGCCCTGTCTGGGGCTGCACCAGCGACCGCGGCCGGTCCCCGCCCGGGCACCGCGGTGGCCGCGTTTGCTAGCGCGCGACCCCGGCCACACGGAGAGGCGGCTCCCGG